GGTTCCCTAACTTTTTTTGAGGCTTGGCCTTTGCAATGCATCTAATCTACCTCAAGGGAGTTTTTGAGGGTTCAATACGAAAGAGATGTGAAAAGTATAAAATGCTACACAGATAAAATTGAAACCCAAATCTCACCACGGCAAGCTTTGACAAGGCCCCTAAATTGTGAAAGTAAACATAGTGAAAGTGTGCATGTACTTTACCCCAGATGTATGACCTCCAATGAAATTAATGTATCCGAGGTAGCCTTGGGGGAGCCGAGCCGATTCCATCTATAGGTGAACAGTAGTTGTTCTCCGGGTTACCTTATTCTGTGTTGCATTATCTTTACTTTTGACTAGAGCAAAGCTAAGGCATCTTTTCAGCATTTGAAGTCCACTTTTTTTTTTTTTTTAAAGAATTCAAGCCCCAAAGTCTGAAGATGTGTATCTTTATTTTATTTAGCCTCCAATCTGTTCAATTCTCTAGTGGTTATAACCTGGTAAGCTGTTTGTGTTTTCTTGTTTGTTTTGGTCGTTTTGCTTTGTTTTGAAGTATGGAACAGGCTACTTCCGATGAAAACATACACTACAATTTAAAATCTGTCACACATTGGAAGGCCTTGCGCACTGGTCTTATTAAGCACTCTTGTGCTCCCTCTACTGCCATGAAGAAAACATTAACATTCAAGGACCCCACTTTTCTCAGGTGGAGTGTTCTCTTTTGGCAATGAAGATGCAGATACGGGCACACATCAGGGCTCTTCTGAAATCCAGTACTATGTAGGATGTAATAATTTTTCAGTAAAAAGCACAAATTAATAATAAGTCTTGACAAAAAAAAGAAGAAATATATAGAAGAATTAAGTTCTGCACCTGTGCCCAAATTTGTCTAGGTGGAGCCCTGTACTATAGAACAGTGTTCTTCACATTACAGTGTGGTTGGGAATTACCCAGGGACCCAGGGGACAAATTCTTATTCAGTAGGTCTAGCATGGAACACTCAATTCTGAGTGTTGTATAAAAGGCCCCTAGGATGCTGCTGCTGCTACTCTGAGCACTACACTTTAAGAAATAAGGGTGTACTATATAACATGGTATGTTATGTGGCATAACATACACTGGCTGACTCATTTTAAACCTTTAGGAGTAGATACCATGAAAACAGTCAACTAGATGTATGGGATTAAAGTTATGTTCAGTGTTTAAGCAGTCCAGAACACGGGTTAGGAAATAAGGCTCATCAGGCCTTATTTCTCGATTTCCTTTCATTTCGAAGGTTGACTTATGCTTGTACAAAAACAGTATGAAGTTTAAGGGTAGGACTATAGTACTACATATTTGCCTACTGGCTTCTTGAAAGCTCTACCCTCTTTTGCAGGAGAAGGTCTTGTTTTTGAAGAATCAGTGCCTGTTATTTGTGAATGTACAGTTAATATTTTGCCATCTGAAAACAAAACATTTTAGTACTCAATGTAATGAAACTGTTTCGTGAGTATGGTGTTTATGTTGGACCTTGCAGGAAGAAATAGTTACAGATTTTAGTGACAGTTTATGGCTTTAATCTTAATGGCTAAGATAGTAAACGACACATTTCTTATTACTTGTTTTTACTGTTTGCATAATATACATATTTAGCTTCCTTGAGGGAACATTTAAATTAATTGACAAACTCTAATCTGAATTATGTATTTTAATTTAAGGTTGTTAAAATGATGTAAATTAACTGCTTGTGCCAATGTAATAATTACAATATTAGCTTTTTTTTTTTTTTTTACTGAAAATTCTCTAAATGTAAGATGCCTAAAAATAGAGTGGAGGTGGATTGGACAGTTTGCAGATTATGAGTTGGAATAAAAACATCTCAGTTAAGCCAAAAACATGGCAACCAATATTTTCTGTTATAAAAATATTTTAGATGAATTTAGTTTTTATGAAAGCTGTCTAAAACTGAAATGAATAGCAGAAGCTCTCTGTTTATTCACAGGCCAGTAATAATAATACCTGCAGGACAAAACATACGTCTTTTCCATGAGGAGTCAACAAGCTTCAGCTTCTTTCAGAAGTCTGCTTGGTCAAATTGGGTGGGAAGAGATATGAGCCCATTATGCTCTCAAATAGCAACCTTCACCTTGACAAATCTTGTCAACAAAACAAAAACAAGGCAGAGCCTTTTCAAGGAAACTGATGTTAGCTGTCCACTAGAGGCTGTAATGAGACCAATAATGTCACTTCAGACCAACCCGAGGTTTAAGCCGTAACAGTCATTGATTTTTAAATGAAAAGAAAAAAAAAGTTGTAGAAATGAGAAGTGAACAGTAGTAGTTCTATTTAAATTGCCATGTCTGTGCATGGTATTTCAAAATGTGAGAAAAAATATTTCCGGGGCTCTACACCTTCCTCATTCGTAGGCTTATTTTTATTTCTGAAGCACGTTGGCTATACAATACAGAGGTGTTTCAAAACGGACACATGTCTCTTGGTGATTCTGTGTCCTGCTTCGGTCGGTGACTAACCGTTAGGTCATAAGTAAACTCAGCCAAAAGGTCTCTCCAATACAGCTTCCAGTCAATAGCAGTGGCTTCCAGGGAGACCAATACGCGGAGGGATCATGTTTCTAGAGACTTAGTTGTAAGCACCCGAAGGAGGTGAAACGCCGCCCCGACACCTCCTGGTCTTCCAGAATTATCTGCAGCAAGGAGAAAGCCACACCGAGGTCCCTTACGTTAGACGTGCCTTCACTTCCTCCAGGGGCCACACCTGTTGGCAAGGTGCACCGCTGCAAAGAAGATTCCGTCGCAAGGAGCTCACACCTGGGGACAGTGCAGGCAGAGGGGGCGGGCTGGTGGGAGCCGAGGACTGCGCTTAAAAATTGAGTCCGGGGGAAGTTCTTCGGCGCGGAGTCTCGACAAATGCCGCTTGTTGCTCGGTTTGCTTTCTCTATCTCCTACACTGGTTACCTCATTTCCGATTAAATTAATGATCCCAAATTAGCTGCGAGAGGATCGCGCGGGTCTTCTATCAAGACAAGAGCTGAGTAGTTCAATACCCAAGGCAGATTTCCGGACCTGTAGAGAGAGAAAGGAGGGAGAGCGGGGAGGATCGCCGGCTTTCGCAGGCAAGGAAAGGTGAGGGTGCGTGTGAGTCGTGGGGACCCTTAAAACTTTCCCGAGTTGCAGGCAAAGGCGATCCCCGCGGCGCCTGGGGGGATCCGGAACGCCGGGGCGACACCGGTTTGAGGGTTAACGTGCCGCTGACGATCAGAGCGAGCCCTCTCAGATGCTTCTAGGAGCGCCGGGCACCAAGGGCACGTCGGGATTAGAATGGGCCGACCTCCCCTCCGCTTTGGGTATTTCACTGGCTGCGAGCTGAAGCCTGACACCCCTTGGGGGAGTCCCCCAGGTTGCCGGAGACGCACCCGGCTGTCGCTCTGTCCCCTACAACTAGGAGCAGGGACCAAGGAAGGCGCACGAGGACCGACCGGTCACCGTTCAAATTACCTCATCGCCTCAGCTCCCCGCCCCTTTCCCAAACCTGGAAGGAACAGTGCCCTACAGCCCGCGTCTCCCCTGCCCCCGCCCCCACCCCCACCCCCACCCCCAGCCCGAGCCACTCTCTGGGAAAGGCGCCCGCCTCCCCGGGCCACCTCCCCCCCGCCGCGCGCTCCCAAGGGTTAAGGGCGCGGGCGGGTCGCCGCGCCGTGCGCTCCAGCGCGGTGCTCTGTGCGGCTCGCCGGGCCGCCCGCCAGAGGGTGCCCCCCCCAGAAGTCGGATCCTTGAGCTGCGGCGGCGGCAGCCAACTGCTCCATATTTGGCTTCTATTACACATTTACATACTGGAGCGAGCGAGCGAGCGCGAGAGAGCGCGAGGGAGGGAGGGCAGGCGGGCGGAGGGAGGAGGGAGGGGAGGGGAGCGGGAGGAGGAGGAGGAGGAGGAGGAGGAGGAGGAGAGAGCAGAGTATACCGCAGACATCATTTCTACTACAGTGGCGGAGCCGTACAGGACCTGTTTCACTGCAGGGGGATCCAAAACAAGCCCCGTGGAGCAGCAGCCAGAGCAACAGCAGCCGCAAGACATTGTTTCTCTCCCTCTGCCCCCCCTTCCCCACGCAACCCCAGATCCATTTACACTTTACAGTAAGTGGCTATTTTTTTTTCCTCCTCTGATTCTTTCTCTCCCCCTCCCCCATCCTCTTCTCCCCTAATTTAGATTAAAATCCCTTCTTCCCCCACTCTCCCGAGGGGGCAAAAACAACAACCAGCAAACAACCCCCAAACCCCAATCGGCTGCACGAAAAACAGCTGGAAGAGGAGCGAAGGAAATCGACGCGTTGTGTTGTGTGTGTGCGCGCGCGCGCGAGTGTGTGTGTGTGTGTGTGTACATACAACCGTCCCCGACTCCAGCCTGCCGGGCCGACACCCCCACTCCGGGCGCAAAGGCGACCGGCTTGGGGGCTGTTGCCGGGGGCCGGTGGGGCGCCCGCCGGGCTAGGGGGCGCGCCCGGACCGGGGGCGCGGGTGATGAGAGCGGCGGCGGCGCCCGGCTCCGGTGGCTGCTGGTCCGGCAGCGAGTACAGAGCCATGTCCTCCTCCCTCCGGGTGGCGCAGGGGGAGGCGGCGGTGGCGGCCGGGGGTCGCCTTTTCCCCGCTGCCGGCTTCCATTCCTTCTCCCCGGAGGGGGCGGTGAGAGCGACGGGAATTCGGGGAGGGTTGGACTTGTCCGCGAGTGGTCGCCTGGCCTGGGCGCCCCGGGACAAGGGTCTCCCCTCAAAGGCTGGCCTCGCCGGGTGTTGGGCTGCAGGCCGGGAGGGGACTGGGCCGGCAGCCGGGCCGCGACTTTGTGCGCGGCCGGGCGCCAGGCGGGGGACGCAGAGGGGTGGCCTCGGGGACCGCGCGGGGGGAGCGGGTGTGCGGGTGCCCGGAGCGCGGCTGGGGTGGCGGTGGCGGCCCTGGCTGCCGCCGTCACCGCCGCCCTGTTGGTGCAGCCGCTTCCTGATCATGTGCAGCCGCCGCCGCCGCCGCCGCCCGGAGCCCAGAGCCCGCGAGTGCCCCAGCCGGGGCCGGCACCCCCGCCTGCGCCCGCGGCAGGAGCAGAGGAGCCGCGGCAGGCGCTGCCCTGCGCCGGGAGTGAACGGCTGCGAGGCTGCTGGGAGGGTGAATGAAGCCAGGAGGAGGGGAAGGAGGAGGAGGCGGCGGCGCTGGAGGAGGAGGAGGCGCTGCGGGGATTGGGATGCGCCCTGGAGCCCCGCTGCTCGTTCACTCTGGGCCGGGCCGGAGACTCTGCCACTCCTGCGGCCGCCGCCGCCTCCTACGTGGTTCCAGCGCTGCGCGCAGGCCGGTCCCGCAGGGGGCAGGGAAGGGGGCCGGACGGGCGGAGCGAGAGGTGAGGCGGTGTCGGAGCGGGGCGTGAGTGTGAGTGAGGGTGAGTCTATGTCTGTGTGTGTATTTGTGTGTGTGCGCGCGCCCGGCGGGGGCGGGGGGCAAGGGCTGTCGCTAAGGGGAGGAGACCCTCCACGGCCACTTGGCTGACTCTGCTGCGCCCGGAGCCCCCTCTTCAGCCCCCGCCCCCCAGGCTGCCTTCTGAAACTCTTGTGGCCTGTGCTTTCATTTTATTTCAGACCACGTAGGGGGCTGACTGGAAGCGATGAAACAATTCAGGTTTTCTAGGGAGATTGAGCAAGAACCTTAGTGGGGGGTGGAAGTAGGGTGGTGATCGAGACTCTGCTAGAAAACAAAACAAAACCAAAAAGAAAAAAAAATCGGTTTCAAAAGACGATGGTGTTCGGTTCGATTCCGTGGCTGCTCTGTTTTCTTTTGCTTTCTTGCTATATAATATATAATCTCACAGATAAGAGGGTAATATAAATACTTGGGAAGGTTGAGAAATTGCTGAAGAGTAGTAAGGGCAAAAAAAAAAAAAAAAAGAGCCAGTCGGAAGAAGCTGGTTATATAATGCGAGATGTGGCTAACAAGAACGGCAAGCTATTTTTATTTTGTTTACCGTATGCTGTGCAGTAGGGACTCCTCCAAACTGGTTCTATCCCCGAAGAGATCCTTAGCTTCCTTGTGAGATCCACAGGATACAATTAGCAAAATTAGAAGACCCTATTACACCCACAGAATAAAAACTAATGCCTTAGAGTGGCATTCTCCCTGAACATCCTGCCGTGCGGGCACGGAATGTGTGTATGCAAATAAGTTCTCCTTTGGCAATCTAGTAGTCACATCTCAATGACATTTGTGTTTTATAATGCAGGCTGTTCTTAATATTTAAACATCATCGTCCTGTATGGCACCCAGCAGAGGATAGCTACTTGATGGTTATTTTTAGGCATTGCTAGTTACTTTTTCAACAGTGTTAGCTAAGCCATTTCTATTTGGGTTTCCGAGGAGCCCTGTAGTTCCTAGAAGCCCCTATTAAACCTACCCTATGGTTTATTTGATGGGTAAAGATAGTTTGATAGTTGAGGATTTTTTAGAATGAAGATTATGCCGAAAGCCACCAGCGACAAGAACGAGAAAATCCTGCACATGAACTCTTGGAAAGGGATTGCACCAGAACGACATTTAATCTCCTCTGATTGTCCTCTAACTGTGCATGCAGCAGTCAATATTTTAGCAGCTCCTGCAAATAAATGGGCTGGCATGCCACCTTCTACCTAAAGCAGAGGTTAAGAAGGGCTCCCCTGAACCTCCTGGCTGACTGTCTTGCACATCATGTAGATAGGTGTCAGTGGTGTAGATTTTCGGTGCACTTAACTCCTCCAGCCTTGATCACTCATGTAATTAGATCAGGCTGCTATGGCAACAGACAGTGTTCCTCGTCCATTCAGGTGGGTTTGTCTTGTGCATGAAGTACTCCAAGTGTTTTATGCACAGTATTTGTGCTGCCCAAGCCAGAGAGAGACTTCACTATTTCAATTGCATCTTCTTTCAGTCATTTGAATGGAAGACACTGCAAGAGGGTTCTAGCTACTCAACTTTTATAAAGCAGACCAACAAGCTGTTCTTACTGGGTGCAGTATGTAAATGCATCTCCCCAGACAGTGAAAGGAGCCTGACAATCCTGTTGGTGTTTATTGTGAACAGATCAACAAGTATTTGGTACTTGTTAGAAACCTTTCAGAGCTTACTAAAGCAACATTTCTTTTGCAGTCTGGTGCCTTTGGCCTTGGAGGCACTTAACCCTTTCAAGTGTGGACAGGGCTCATCCTTTGGAACTCAACATTGCCCTTGATGGCTGGCTAAAGGGTTTACTCAGAGGAAGTATCTTGGGAAGTATATCCACATTGTCACATTTTAAAACTTTGTGGTCATTGTAGCAAAAACGGATACTGACAGTAGGGAGCCCTTCTGAATTTATTCATTCTTAATTTGGATTTCTTGGGTGTGATCTTTAAGGATCTTTGGTAGTAAGTTAAAGGGTTTGGTTTGGATTTTTTCCCCCCTTAGTTAAGGAAGAGGTGATAGAGGCCTATAGCTAGATGTGTGGTGCTTTTTTTGCATAATAAACTTATTTTAGGATATAATTTAATGAGCAATTAGGAAGCCTTTACATTAAGGCAACACTTATTAAGCCCACTAAGGAAAGAGAAATAATAATATGGAAAAGTAGCTTTAGTTGCTGAAGCTCTGTACTGCTGGGGCAGTCCAACTAGGGAAGAGTTATTTTAGTAATCCTGATATTTGAAAGAAAGGCTAATTGAGAAGAATAATGCATGGATTTAAGTTGTGACCTTGCCAGTCAGTTTTTAGTTTTATGGCCCCATAGCTAAATTGGTAAAATTTTTCCCCCTGGGGGCTAGGATTGAGAGAACTACTTAACTCTCTTCACAGGGGGTTTATGAGTTTCTTCTGTTTAGTGAGTCTGTGTGGTTGGTAAATTCATTGTGGCCTGGTCAGATGAAGCATTGCTGTGGTTAAAACGAGCTGTTATTTCTGGGAGGTAACTACATAGGCGGGATATAAAATAAAACACAGACGTTTTACACACTACCTTGGAGGTCCTAGATTCTATCTTGCAACATTCAGAAAGACCCTTCACTTGCAGTAAATTGTAAACATGCATTTTTCAGTGCACAAATGCATGCTGAAATAGGTATGAAAAATGTACTTGATTTGGAACCATGAACGACAATTATGTTCCTTTCTGGATTTCGTTTTAAGAGGGTTTCATAAACAGAAGTGATACATTGTCAGAAATTTTGTTAACTAGGCCTCTGAATTGTCTTTTACTCTTAGAAGATAATTAAAGAAAAACTCCTTAGCCATCAGATAACATGTTAAATGCAAATGGATGGTCTGTAAATTCCAATATACCCCACTCAGTTGTCTGGGAGTCCTTGGAGAGGCCAGTGTTAAGAGATTATTAAAATATTAGTAAACATTTCTATGACTCCTGTTATTGTTGTCACGGTAGAGTTCAAGGACTTAGGTTCCTTTTGTGTAATGTTGTGTCTTTATTTTTTTACGTTCTGAAATGTCAAGTTGATTTTGCTTTTGCACAGATCTTTAATGACAGTTTCTGATCACTGATACCCTGTAACAACCGGGTTTATTTTGTTCCTATTAGAAGTTATTCAATAAACATATTTTACTAAAACTCTGATAGTTAAGTAGGTAAATGTGTGAGTGAATGTTAATCCTTTAAAATATAGTTATCTGAAAGTAACAGACAATCACTTATAAGGGAAAGAGATTTCACTTCCACTGCTTTATATTTTCAGAGTAAATTCAGTAGTTTAAATGATTAGTTTCAATAAGAGCTTTATATCTGAACAGTTTAATTGCTTCGAAGAACGGATTTAATTCTGGTCATACTTCCAAGGTTATCAAAAGCCAAGCCCTCCTTGTTTTGTTAAAAGCATTGAAAACAATAAATTGTGGAAATCCCAATAGAGATAATAATAATTTCTGTTCTAGGACATTACATATAAAACTTCTGTTTTTTAAGATAGGATTTTTTTTTTTTAGCAATTCATTACACTTAACATTTTCATTTATTTTGGTTGAATAAATTTACTCTTTCAAAAATGTATTCAAAAGTGGTAATAATAAGCCTATAGGCTGCTTCTTTCATAGAATTTTTGAAATGTTGGCTGCAAGGGCTGTAATTGAATTGTGTTTTTAAAAAATACATAAATGCTTAAAATTACAGAAGTAATAAAAAGAATGTTTTAAGATGAATCGGTCTGTGCAAGATATTTTTTATTCTTGCCTGTTTGTGTTTATGTATTTTTGTTTTTATCAGTGTGGTTATATGTTTTATAATCCTCATAAATCTGAATCTGTTAGGCTAACATACTAAAAATATTTGTACTATGTATTACTATCTTCCCAAATGTACTAAAGTATGTTTAAGAACATGATGGGCAAAAAAAGCAACAAGTGTTACATTTTGTTTGACATGTTTCATGTTAGCTGAAATCTTTCATTGATTTTTCTCTTAACTTTTAATGCATCCCATTTGTGGAGTAATGAAAGTGCAATGATAATTGTGTTAATGTAAGCCAAAGTTGTATCCTACCTGAAAAATACTTTTCAGAAAATTTGTTACTGTGTAATCTAAATTTGAGGCTTCAGGGGGTAGAGGTTCCTAGGATTATAGTGTATGCATTTGGGCTATTCCCCCCCCCCCTTAGGTGTCTCTTAACATTGGAAGTTTTGAGGGCCTTATTTAGCAGGAATTTTTAGTGATGTTATTTTAACTGCTAACTATAAACATTTATACTTCTCGTGTTCCAAGAAAATGTGTTTTTCTATCACTGTGTATGACAAATTTTATTTTATCATGCCCTTAGTTTTGGCCCCTCTCTCACATTATCTCCTGGTCTTTATAGCCCATCATATCAGTTGTATTTAGGCCATCTTTTCTGGTAAACTTCCACTGTTAATAGTAGTATTATATGATGTTACTCTGTTGTGCTTTTTAAAAATAAATATTCCATTTGGGGTGTATATCATTGTATAAGACATTCCATAATTCCATTATTTTCTTGTTTATATGCTTTTGCGGTGAATTCATGTTGCCTTGCTTTTATTCTTGGGTTTCTTCCCTCAGATGGAATATGAGTTGTATTAACTCTCTTGATTACCCAACTAGTGTAGCAACACAAGGACTTTTGAAATAAGGCATACTCATGTGAGAGTAAATTAAACTTTTACAGCATTTGCATCATGTTTGGCTACCCTCTGCACTTCATCAGAAATAGGAGGGGGCTGTAATTTGGACTCTATAAAACCTTATCTGCCAGGTGATATGTAAATAGGATTGTGTGCACACACATCAATATCCAAGCAAACACCCTCTTACCCGTGAGCCCATAAAGCACTATCAAATCCACAGTACCTACTTGAGTTTGAACATCAAGTATTTGGGTGCTTCTTTTGAGATGTTACTAGATAAAATGAATATCCCTCTCCCTTATGGTGTAAGATTAAATAGAATTTTGTGAACTGCTGTTTAACTTGTCCACTGTTTGTATTCAGCAAGCTTCCTGGTGGAAGGAGAGTGTCTTCTAAGGATGTAAGAGATGTTATAGTTTAGAGCAGCTGATCTTTCTCTGTACACACAGATCACACGTGGGGAAACCGAGGACTACAAAAATTACTTCTTTTGCATATCAGTCCCAGGCATGCAATTGATGCTTAAATAAATGCTTGGTGAATGGATTAGTTAGAAGTAAGAATATTTTGGCTACTGTTCATTACTTTGAAAAGTGCTGGAGAGAAATGGAAGTTATTTTCCTTTCCAGCTGGGCTGTGCTCTTAAAAATAGTGAGTGTGTATGGATGAAAATAATCGTGCCTACCGAGATGTATTGCCATGTACCCAGGGATAATTGGCTCACTTACCTGTTTACAGATTATTCATATTGGAGACCCTATTCATAGCAGCTCTGGAATAGTTTCATTCTGACACCCAATATAATCCCAGGCCTTCTCCTTCCTACTGTTACCTGGTGTGAGCTTAGGAATCTCAAACTAAATTTAAAATCAGCCTAAACAAATATGCAGATCAGTCCAGTAATCACAGACTGAAAATCAGTCCAGCATTTGCTAGCCTGGGGATTTATTTTATAGTAACTGTGCTGCTGATTTTTTTTCTGTTCAGTGTGGTAATTGGGAATTGGCAGTATTTAAAAATATAATTTTAATGGATAGGGCTAAAAGCATGTTAGCAGATCAAGTCCTCAACTTCTTCCATTTCTATGCATAGGTCTTTACCTCACAAAAACTACTACAAGCACCAAGCTCCCTGATGGAAAGGTATATGGAAGATTCATTCATTCTTTCATTCATCCATTCACACATTCACTCATTCATCATACAATGGATGATATCTACTTAACCATTTGCAAGGCACTGTGGCAAATTGAAAATAAGGTAGATTGACATCAATGCTTAAATAGCTTAAAGTTCAGTGGGAAGTCTAGTGAATACATGTACACTTTGAAATTTTTTTCTGCATTTTATACCATTGGACAGGTATGCTAATAGCTGTGCTCTTTCATGATTGTCTTCCAAGTTGCATGTTGATAGATAATACATGTCACATTCAAAGTAGGCTTTGGTTCAATTCCTATTCAATCCATGCCCATTTTCACCTGATACTTCTTGTGATTACTAGCATGTGTTTATCAAATGATTGGCTGGAATCAGTGCAGAAAAGAATGATAGTGGCTGGCTCAACTGGGGAGACCAACCTGTTAATTTGACTGAAGGGATGACCTTTTGATCATCCCTTGGCCTCTTTCTAAGTTCTGTTGAATATAACCCAGACTGCATTTTGAGCTGGCTGGGGTTCTGTGTAATTCTTATATGAGAAAATGCAAAATTGGATGTTGCTTAAAGTTCATATTTCAGTGCATAGACCTTAAGGTGGACTTCTTTTTAAAGCAGTTTATTCTGTTTTTCATTTTGGATATCTTCTCCTGCACTCCCTGGACCATTGCAGGAGCATCGTGCAACAAATCACCAGGGTGGTCCATTCAAGCTGCAGATTTGTTTGTCATCTTTATACAACAGTCTCCTCCTCCACTGCCACTACAGGGAAGTGCATCACATGTCAGGTGAGAGTTTCCATCTGAAGATAAAGTCTTGCTGGAAATTGCCTCCTAACCATGCTTAAGCATTTTGTTGACTATTGAATATAATTTTCTTTGCAAACTATATTGTATAGGAAATAGAGAAATTGCCAAGATTTTCTTTTTTTTGTAAGACTCGGATTAAAGTGTCCATCTTTTTGGCTCGTGAGGAAGTTTATTTTTCTTCATGGTGTTGGATTGTTAGTGTTTGGAGTTTGAGTCAGATGGTTATAATTGCCACCTTTCCTTAATACGGCTAAGAATGTTATGCCAGCAGTTATTTTAAGTCAGGGTTTTTACATTTTAGGTTTTTGGTGTAGTATAATACACGAGTAGTAAAAGGGAAGCCTTTTGTTTAGTAGCAACCAGAATTTGTTAAATCTTGAATTTCTTTGTGTCTGTTTGGATTTTACAACTTCCTGATTTCCTCACGTACAGTAAGTTTTTCTGGCTTGGAGAGTCATGCATACACGGGGTGTATGCAAGCATGATGACTCATGGTTCTTTATTGCAGAGAGGGCAAGAGGATACTGCCTCAGATGAAATCAGGAGAGATGGAAGTTTGCTAGAACTTGGGGCAGTAAGGGTTTGAGAACCCTGGTGTACGCAACCAAGAGAGATTAGGAAATGGAAAATAGAGGATTAACTTTTATTTGCCTTGGAAGCAGTCCTGCTTGTGGCTCTGAAGATAAACTAGATCAGGGGTTCCCAAGCCTGGCTGAGCAACAGAATTACCTGGCTAGCTTAAAAAAATAGAATTTGGGGCTCCACCCCAGATCTCCTGCGTCAAAATGTTCTATGCTGGTCTCCTGGAATCACTGATCTCCTAGGTATTATTGCTCCTCTGGTTGGGAAGCTGCATGCTTGGGTGGTCTCTCGGTAGCTCTTCGTAACTTATATTTTACCTGGTGAAAGGCATGGTCTATTTTTACAAAGGTCACATCTAAAAATATGTATTTTCAAAACTCATTTGCTAAGAAGTGGATATTTGCTTTACCAAAATGTTCATTTTGAAAATAATCGACCAGACTTCTTTAAAGGAAGAGCTCCTTCTTAGCACTTAAAGATCCTGCTTTTAAGTTACATATAAATTCTCTGGCAACTGACACAAGAACATGGACCTCTGTAACCAGCCAGTCTGGACTTGAAATCTAGATCTGGCTCTCTGGCCTAGTCCAGTATCCTTTCAGTTCTTTGGTTTTCAAGTGTAAAAGAGATAATATTAGAACTTTTTAGTAGGGCTGCTGTGAGGATGGAATGAAATTGTATATATACTGTGGGTACAGTTATGTCTAGTGTCTGGTTTGTGATCTGTTAACTCATGCTATCCTTGTTAGCATGCAACTTAATCTCTTTTTTGTTTTTTTGGTTCAGACAGAAGCTTGTTGCCCAGGCTTGTTTTGAACTCCTGGCTTTAAGCTGTCCTCCTACCTCAGCCTCCCAGTATGCTGGGATTACAGACATAGGCCTGGTCTGAACTTAATGTCTTGACAGGGTGATTGTATATTAATGGTCATGTTTTGTGATGGGTGCTCCTGGACCATACGTGACTAGGAACAAGTAAATATACCTGGACCTTGGTCTTTGGACCAACCCTGGAGACACCTACAGTTCTGCAAAGCCAATGGGCCTTTTATTATTTATTTATTTTTTTTTATTTTAAATTCTGAATGTATCATAACTCTCACACTGTGGTAGGATGCTTATGTATTTTTTTAATATTGTTGTAAGGTGAACAATTGCATGCATATTGGTGGTCTGAGTAAAAACAAACAAAAATGTGACCAAAAAATAGACAAAAACATGCTCCTGGGGGACGAGGTGGAGGAGGGAGGAGTTGTCACAAACATTTTATCTCTCCTTGTGAAACATGGAACTGGGTTCCTTACATTTTCTTGGCTGTGGATTAGAAAGGTGTTGGTTAAGTGGAAATGGAATGATCTGGAGTGACATGCAAAAAAGGTAAGCCTAGTGAGGTTGACAAGTGTCAGTAGGACTAGAAAGGGTGCAGAGTCTTTTTTTTTTTTTTTGAGACAGAGCCTCAAGCTGTCCCCCTGGGCAGAGTGCCGTGGCATTACAGCTCACAGCAACCTCCAACTCCTGGGCTCAAGCGAGTCTCCTGCCTCCGCCTCCCAAGTAGCTGGGACCACAGGCGCCCGCCACAACGCCCAGCCATTTTTTGGTTGCAGCCGTCATTGTTGTTTAGCGGGTCCGGGCTGGGGATTCGAACCCGCCACCTTAGGTGTACGTGGCTGGCGCCTTAGCCGGTTGAGCTATAGGCGCCGAGCCAGGGTGCAGAGTCTTAATGCTACTTCGTCACTTCATGCACTTACCCATGACAACAGTTATTTGGCCAGGCAAAAAAAAAAATCTTCACAGTTTGATTTTTGGGGAAATAGTTTAGTTGCATATGGGGTGAGTATAATACATGCAACTGTATGTTTACTTGTGATAGCCGAAATACCTCAAAAATTTTATTGTGCAAAAACACATAGCAAAAGAATCCTATCTCTTGGTCAATATGTGCAGCTTACTGAGAAGAGCCCAAGTTTTTATAGTGTATGAGGCAAGTCTAAGTGTCTTCTGAAAACTCGTATTACCGACAAAGTGGTGCCAAGTCACCTTGAATTTTAAGCAGATGACATTTTCTGTGATTGCTTTTAAAGGAAGCTTATAAGCATTATCTAAACATTTTGCATCAATAATGACCTCGTTACAGTCCTCACAATTGATGGCTAAACTGTGAGCTGGGAGATGGTATCATTCATGTGCTCTGGTATATTCATTCAGTTTTTTAAAAAAACCTAGATTACAATTATTTCTGGTTCTAGTTATTTTATAAATATGATGTAGCGGTAGCAAGTGATGACCTAACTTGTTCACAGTCCCTATTTATGTAAAGAATGATTCATTCATTTTTTTTTTCATTGTGAATTTTTTTTGTAAATTACTGCATAGTGCTGTTGGAATGAAAGTGAGTAAGAGCCGCCGGAAGGAGGTTATAGTCTTCATGGTCAGGCAGGGAAAAGAAGAAATGCTCCAAAATAAGGAAAGCAAAGCAGGGAGCGGTCCTAAGACGGTTCTAGCAGCGAAGGAATTGAGAAAAACCACGCTGAGTTAGGAGTGATCAGGAGAGATTTGGAGGAGGAGGGATCACCTGAGTTGAGCTCTGCTGGCTGGATTGCATTTCTGTGGGAAGGGAGGAATAGAGCAGGAGGGAGCCCACTAAGTGGCTGGGACTTAACAAGCAAGTGCCTGGTATGTAACTGGCCAGGCCATTGTACGTTCTGGTAGAAATCTGAGTTTCTGGAGTTGGGCAGGCAGTAGAGAGCGTGGGAAGGAAACTGCTGAGAAATCAGGTATGGGGATAAATTTGGAGGAGTCATTGGCATAAATGTGATCTTTGAAGTTAGACTTTGAAGACTTGTGCCTGGCAAAACGTTTGACCCAGGGGGTGGGCGATAACTAAATTCAGGGATGATATCAGCTGGGGTAGAATGCGTAGAGAGACGGTGAGAGAGCAGAGTAGCTTGAACGTTGCTGCAGCTCAGCCTGCGGGAGACCTGGTGGGTGGAGGAATTGGGATGATGTCTGGGTAGACCATGGGGATCTAAACAGAAACTCGGTGCTGAGCTGCAGCTCAATGAAACCTTGTTGAAACCTTTATTCCTTTAAGACCTTTAAAAAAAATAAGAACTTGAGCTAATTTTAGGTAAATCCAGTATGTGTGTGTATGAAAATGAATGCTGCTTTTGAAATTCAGCACGTGTGATATCTCTTTTCATTTAAACAAATGATCCTTCTATTTTCCTCTAAACTGTTTTATTAAGAAGATACTCAGTGAAGCCCTGTACAGATTAACAACAGTTCCTGCATTTCCTTTGATCTTCCCCACCGTTGATTTATTCATCTCATGTGATATGCGTAAAGCACATCGTGCCATCTACTTGACTCTGTAGCAACTGTTCATTCGTGGCAATTCATTTACTGTACTTTGATAAATCACGTTGATATGGTTGTGTTTTGTAACTTTAGAGGATTCCCTGAGGCTTTCTGTAGACTCTTTCAAATGTGAGATATACGGGGTATACAGTATACACATATGTACTAGACACAGCTCTTTGAACAATGTGGCTTCTCATTTAGACTTTATAGGAAATAATATAGAATTGATGAGCCTTGGCTCTGGGGAGGAAATTTGCCTAAGATTTCAGGGCTCAAAGGAAAGGGCTGGAAATTATCTGTTTATGTGGGTTTTAATAAATAGTCGATTTTAGTATAATTAGAGAAAATGTAAGGATTATTTAAGATTTTGTTTTTGGATGTGAATTATTTAGCTGGACTGTTTGTGTATCCCAGAATGGTTCAGAATGAAGGCAGCGACTTAACCTAACTTTTATCAAAGACAGAAGCTTAGGGAAGGGGAAGAAGACAACTGAGGAGCAGGTCATTCTGCCTGTAGTTATTTAGTGAGCGTGTACTGTGAGTGTTAGGCCAGCAAGGCCCTGTCGGTGATGTGGAGATGATCCACAGTTCACAGTCCACTCTGAGTATGAGCTCATTTAATCCTCATTGAAGATTCTTATCTTCCATTATTTTCTCCATTTCGAAGATGAGGGAAGTGGCACAGAGAGGATAGGTAACCTGCCCAAGACTGCCCAAAGCTGTTAGATGGTAAAGTCATGCTTGGATCCCAGCCTGCATTCTTAGTTGTGGCTCAGGATTATCTTTCAAGCCCAAAGTCCTGTTTTTAAGGAGCTTACAGTCAAGTGCAGAGGACTGGGAGTGCTCAGGAATCATATTTAAAGAACTATAACACAGGTACAGCATCCTCTCAGAGGTCAAGATCAGGGCAGTATTCTTGGATGATGAGTTTTCCTTTTTTAACATTTTTTTCATGGAGATGGGAGCTCATTACATTGCCCTGGCTGATCTCGAACTCCTAACCTCCAGGGCTTTTCCTCTAACAGTGCTAGAATTGCAGT